CGTTCAATATGCAAATTAATAACTAATTTTCGAATTTCAGGCAAAGTTTCTTTTCGTTTAGCATTCATGGCTGCACAGAGATAAAAAACACAAAAATTCCAAAACAAACTGGAGAGAAATACTGCAGACGATTTTATAAATTATTGCCAATTGCTTTTGAGTAAAAATAAAAACCCCCAAAAATATTTTTATTGTAGTACGTAGTAGTATCTAATGGTGTCCCATCACTTATGTGAGCCATTTTTTGCTCCGTTCTAAACAATTGTATTTTTATTAAATTAATATTTTGAGAAATGTATGTTTGTAATAATTGTTACTTTAAGTATGAAACACACCCACAAAAAATTTTTACATGTTTTTTTAATTTATTTTATTACAGTTTCCTTTTGTGAAGCACAAGTGTCCCATCACTTTTGTGAGACACTGTAGTTTAATGCCTTCCAAGATCATCATGAATAATTTTTAAATACTTAAGCAGAACGACGTTGTGTAATATAAATAGTAAACAAATGAAGAAATACAACGTAAAAATTAGGGGAACTGCCATTTCGTTTGAGCTCAATCATAATAGTGTTGATTTACGATGAACACGTACGTTGCTTATTAGTTGCTAATTACTTTTCTCTTTTACTACTCTGCGTGACTATTCCTTTACCCATGTTTAAATAATACGCAGCCAATGTTCCTTAGTAAATCCTCCATGGAAGCTGTCTCTCCAAACTTTTAGTTCTTGTACTGTTACTTAATTATCATTCGTAGGAACTGAACATGTATTTTGGTCTGGTTTATCTGATTATGGCAAAGCCTCGAGGGCTGTCTGCCTAAGGGAATGGACGCCTTCGTGGAGGACTTTCTAAGGGAAACAGGCTCGTATGCACGGTACACATAGGAAAAAAGCGCGAAAACGGCCATGGCGGGATTCGAACCTTGGACCTAAGAGAGGGATGCCTTCGTGGAGGACTTTGTAAGGGAAACTGGCTCGTATACACGTTACACATGGGGAAAACCACGAAAACGCCCATGCAGCCAGCCCGTTCACGGGATTCAAATCTCGGACCGAACTACCAGTGTTCAGCGTCTTTACCGCTCGGCCGCTGATGGGCCCAAATTAAATATGTAATAGGAAGTATTAAATGAATAAATGTATTATCATTACCCATTAAAAAACAATATGCCGAAAATTCGTTATTAATTATGCTACGTTTGGTAATTATTTCTGTTTATTTTCATAACCTAACAATCTTTATTCATTTTACTATAACCTTTTGACAACATTTTGACACTTTTTCGAAAATAATTATTTCTTTATAACAATAATAATAATATTCTAATTACAATCAAGTATAAAATAGTCCGTAATGATAATTTTTTAGGCTTTTTAATGACTTAACTGCCATAAATATTTTTTCTAACGTTCCTTTGTAATATTTAATGCAAAAAATGCAGAAAATTCTTTCTTTAATATAGGACGAACTGTACAGTGTTTCATTACCATTGTATTTCATAAGTGGAAGATAAGAACGTATTTACATACTGTCATTGTCGTTTACAAATGCTATTGTGAATCTTTTGTTTCGGAATGAATACATTACGCAAAGCGCCTTGCGAAACCATGTGCTGGAGCTTACGTCAATCCAAATTCGTTGTTGCTGCTGGGTTTTTTTTTTTTTTTTTTTTTTTTTTTTTGTGTGTGTGTGTGTTTCAAGGTAGGTATAAAAGATTAGCTGCTCTTCAACTCGTGGTAAAATTTCCTAAAATTGTGAAATTTTCTGAAAATTCTGTGAGTACATACATCTAATAATCGAGTATTAAGTGCTTAACCCTTTGACTACAAATTAAAAAAAACTCTTTTTTACTCCGTTTCCTATCCAAGTGAATAAAATATTTCATAAATGATATAAATTTAGCAACGGTTTTTAAGCCAAAGGCCCGGATACATATGTCCCAGCAGTAGTTAATGGTGGGATACGTATGTCCTTCGCTCCGCGATCGACTTATATAATCACACCTATTATTCTAGAAAACTACATTATATGAAATTGATTTTACGTCGTATGGTACAGGATAAAGCATTCTTTGCATAACCCATCGTTACACAATAGGCAACTCGTATTTGTTCTTTTCTCTATGTTAATCTGTGTACAAGGAGAACAGCGTCGTCTTGATTTTCCAACTATTGGAAGATGATCCCCAACATTCAGATGATTCTAAGTACTTTTTAACCCAGCAGTAATGTTTTAAAATTTTAGTGGAAGATATATGTCCCGTTAACAGTCAAAGGTTTAAATAAAACGTTAAACAGTGTCTGTTTGAAATGATGAAGGTAATAATAGATTATATGTGTATAATATAGGATCTGGAAGATTTTTTCTAGCGAGGAAAACGAAACTTTCTAGTTTTAAGTGATTGAAATTTGCAAACTGTGCTTCCACATTCCGGCAAAGCACCATAAAGGTTTCATTAGCTGGCATTCTTTTAGTGTGATTAGTGTCAATTAAAATATCCAAATCGAATTGTGTTTATTAAGAGAAATAATTTTTCGTACATGCGTATAATGTGTTACCTTAAAAATAAAATAAAATAAAATTTAATTTAGTAAATTGAGTGACTGAGTGAATTAAATAGAAAAATGTTTGCTAAGTTCACACTTACAGATTTGTCAACTTCTTAAATCATTCTGAACATCTCATACTCGAAAGCTTTTGAGCTAACATTTCTGTTCATGAGGTAGCCTAAAGAAGACCATAAGATCGTCCATTTTATGATCGAAAGATTAAACATCTGTGAGTAGTGTTATAAGGTATTTCTCCCGCCTTCTTAGCATGCCTTCGTCGTGTAATAGTCATCACATTCGTTGCGTATTCGAGAGGTCCGAGGTTCGAGTCCCGGTGAGGGCACTGCAGATTTTTCATCTCTCAACCTAATGTCTCTACAGTGCTATTTAACAAAAAAATTTGTTTCTTATTAAAAAAAATATACCTTTATTTGAAATGAGAGGGACATAGGTAGTGTCTAGATTTTTGAACCAGTGACTGCGATCAGTGTTCCCCCCTTTTTTACTTCCTTGTACGAAATAAAAAGGAAGTATTGTAATCGCGAAAAGCTTCAGGCAGCATATTTCAACGAAAATATCCACTTTGACCGCTTTCGAATGCAATTTAACGATGTTTTTGCGTGATATCTGTACGTAAGGACAGAATAAAATACTCTTTTCCTTCAAAAAAATTTAAAAACTGCTTTAAAATTAATTCTGAAGAGAATTTTTCGTGGCGTCTGTACGAACGTATGTACGTACGTGCATACATACGTGCGTACGTACGTATCTCGCATAGCTCAAAAACGAGTAGCCTCAGAACGTTGAAATTTTGTATATAGTACTGCTATAACATGTAGATGTGCACCTCGTATTTTGGTTGCAGTTGGCAGTACCAAACGTATATAAATATATTTATATATATATCCACTCTATTACCCGGCTCAGTGATCTCAGTTTCTTTACTCTTATATGTTTGTAAATTGTACATTTTTTACTTTAAAAAGGATTGTATTCTGTTGTTTTTATCTTCCTGTTAAGGGTTTTATGCCTTTAGTAAATCTGTATGCAATATTTTTAGAATTATCAACAATTTTAAAATTGTTTAAGTGCCGCTAAGCCTAATTTGATAACGGCCATTGCTCTTGTTTACATTTGAAACAGCTGAGTTATCGGATTTGTTGCCAATCTAGAGAAACTTAGCTTCGCAACAACAAAGATAACGTCTTCATTTATTATTTAAATCATATTTAATCCTTTCTGGGATTTTTCCGAGGAAATAAGCGTTTGAGATTTACTTCGTAATTTTTAATACAGATATTTTGAGTTTTTATGTATTTTTGCCTTGTCGCGAAGTGCAAATTGAATTAATTGAATGAGAAATACTCAATCGTCTGTGAAAAACTGTTTATTTTTTGTTTTGTTTGCTTAATTTCTTTTATACATACTTCTTGCTTTATTATAGTATTTGAATAGAACATGTGGCAACGATTAGATAATTCTTTAAATGATACAAATTTTGCGCATTCTGAGTTATAATATGAACGAAATATAATACTGTTAAGTGAACCTAGCGCCAGAGTGTCGCTATGGTAAACAAAGTGAATTTTAAAGAATGCATTTATTCTATTGTGGTTTATGCGCTGTCGACGAAATAAGTTTAATTCAATCTAATAAGTTTAAATAAAATGCAAGAAAAAATGCGTATAACTTAATATTCCGTACAAGGAAGTCATGTGGTGTACACATCAATTTTTTTTTCCTTCATATCTTGATTATTCAAAAATTATTGGTTTGGTTATACCAAAGCACACTAGAGCTATCTGCCTTGGGGAATGCCTTCGTGGAGGACTTTCTAAGGGGCACATTCTCGTATAGGCTAAACATGGGGAAAACACGAAAACGTCCATGGAGCCAGCCTATTCGCCTGCAGTCGAACCCAGGTGGAAACTACCAGTATTCAGGGGATTTTACCGATATAATGTAATACAGTTATACCGCCTTACAAGAAGTATTTGTATTACATTACATGTATTGCTAGAAACACAGATATCTCCTACCACTTGGATTAGGAACTGTTTTCAGAATTGACGATCTGGCAGGTCGCGCGGATGATTAATGTTCTTGTAGCGTAACGCAATATAATCCGGAAAATGGAATAACTTGGTCCTAGATGTTTTCTATTATTTATCTATATCCGGAAAATGAAATAACTTGGTTCTAGTATATTTATGTATATATTTGGAGGAGGGCGGTTTTTAATATTTGTATAATTTATAGTTTAAAACTATAATGCTTTACTTTTTTAATCTTTATAAATTAATAAATATTTCATAAATATTTTTTGTGATCTATGAATAGCATCTTAACCTGTATTTTTTTCCTCTCTCTTTTTATGTATTTTGTCTCTCCGTCTGGTTGCTGTGGATTTTCTTCCTTCTGTTCATCTTATGATGGCGCAATAAAGCGGAAAACAACCAAAGGTAAGCGACCTTCATTTTGCTATTTAAATGTTGTAGCGAATAACCGGAAACTCAACATTGCCGAACACAGTGCGATACGAACAAACGCTTAAAAACCTAAAATTCACGGCCGAGCAAATTTTCCGCTAGATATAGCGTCGTGGGGAAGAAAAGATTTTAGGCCGATTATGTCTTTCCACTCCCACCAATCATTCTGTATTTAAAATGCTTTTCTGCGTGCGAAGTATTTTAAGATTCAAAAGAGTTCTAAAATTATGCAGTATTTGATACTTTGTAAGGTTCTTATTCTTCATTTGGTGTTTCTATTTTCCGTTAATACTTCACTGTAAAAAGTATATGCTGAGGTAAAGGGTAATTGTATATAAGACACCATTGAACCACCTTTGATTCTTTTTAAATGTTGCTGTAAAGCAGTTGATGGAAATAGAAAGATAGGTTTCAGATAAATTTCAAATCATAGCTGTATCTGTTGCATTATTTTTACTAACATCTTGTTGTGATCATCGAACTGTCTTTGAACTTGCCGTTACTAATTTTTTGTTGTACCATTTTCATTTAATAACAACCAAAGTGTTCTAGGTGAAGGGGGATTTGACATATTTTCATCGGCGTGTTCTCATTTAAGAATACCAGTTCTAGCTCTCAAATGGACTTTAACTAATAATTTATTTGCCCTAAGTTCATTGGGTCCAGTCCGTAGACTATCCTTAAATAATTACCAAAGTGTTAATTTACTCATCCTGTGGCTTTCTTGTCAGAACATGTGAGCGAAATCAAAAGTGTCCGAAAGCGTCTGTTTGGTATAAATAACAAAATAATAGTACCGCATTGACTTGATTGATTTTTTTTCTTTCTTGAGTTGAAACAATTTCCATTTTAATGCGCAACGTAAATTTAAAAGTACATTAAAGTAATCTTATCACTATCCATCAATAGCTTGCGTACTTATTCGTTTCAAATCAAAATAACCACATTTAAACCACTGAATTTTGATCTTTGGATGTAGTGTGTCTACAGAATTTTAGTACTGAACATTTTTAATTAATCCCAGTGGAGCTGTCAAAGGATAACTAGAGCAATGGTTGCTACCACGCCTCGACTGGCTTCTGTTAAAATATCACTCGTTTAGCGAGTGGAGTTTGAATAGAATTCATTGTTGAAGTTATGTTAATTTTATGCCGTTATGGATTCAATGACTAAGCAGCGGAAAGAATGATTTTCTTCGCAGTGTAATTGTCGTCAAGCTGGTTTGCTGCAAACAAAAGTGAAACTCTTCTTAATCTTTGTCCTTTTATTCTACAGATTTGGCCTCTGCACGCTATTCCATGTTTCCTATACTGAGATCTCACCTTAAAGAGCACCATTCCGAAAGCTTTGGGAAACTGTATCAACAGTATTAGTTCATTAGAAGACGAGCTGTAAAACTGCTGAAAGCTGATGTTCGATCCAAATTCCAACTTATAGTTCGGTCCAATTCGTTTAAATTCCGGCAAATGGTCTGACTGCATGAAAGTTTTCGTGGTTTTGCCTAGTTGTAACTTGAATGAGTCATTTTCCCTCAAAATGTCCTCTGCGTAAGCATTCTTTCTTTAGACAAAAAGCCCTCGAATGCTTAGCCGTATTCAAATAACCAACAAAACTGAGACAGGTATCCTTCGAGTGTTGTGCTGTAATGTGCATAATCCAACAACAGGACGGAAGAGTGCTCCAAAATTGATTATTGAGTATGCCGAAAAGCGCGTTGCATCAAAAGGAATGTGTATAGAAAGCCAGAAAGTGGTTCAGATACAGCAGGACCGGATTAAGACTTTTAAAGGTCCTAAGCACTTAAAAGGTTTTGGTGCCCCCACATATGTTTACGCCAGTTTTTTTTTTTTTTTTTTTTTTTTCATTCTTTTTGTCTCTTAATTTTGGTTTAGTTCTGCCACGCATTCCATCGCAAACGACAATGAGAAATTTTTTAGTGCCCCCTTTGTTGAATACCTAAAGACCTTTTTTAGGTATCCCTTTTGCTTGATGTGGCACCCTAAGCACGTGTTTAGTTTTTAATCCAGCCCTGAGATATGAATTCAGTCTTCAACTTATCATGATGAGCTTTGTAAAATGCTTTTAATATGTAGGGCCTCTTTTATGAATTTCTTATATTTTATATACAGGTGTGTAATCGGGTTGATGGTCACTACTTTAAGGGATAATAGAACATGGCAACAAAATCCGTAATACAGTGCGTGGAGAAAACTGAAGTGTGAGCGCGGAAACACGGTAAATATGAAGAACATGGAGAACAAAAATCTATTTTAATTACAGATATTTACAAGAAGTAATATTTGACGTTTACAAGCATTGTTCAAATTCATAACCAGCAACTGCATCATAATGACGAGGATTTCGTTAACGAAATGTAGATTTACACTCCTGGAGACCTCCTCGCCAGAATTAGTGACGCTGCTGCAGAAGTACGTGATACGACTAGCAGCTTCCAAAGTGTACGCGAGTAATTCATCATTATTGTGATGCATCTGTTGAAATCTGTGGTTGTTCATTTCAACAGTCTTGTACGCATAAAACACTATTTCTTGTAAATGTCCGAGATTAAAACAATTTTGCATTCACCACGATCTTTGTACTAACTGTGTTTCTGCCTTCATATTTCACATTCTTCACACATTGTATAACGAATATCCTTATTTGTTACTTTGGCCGTGTTCTGTCACCCCTTAAAATTGTTCCGACTACAAATTGTATACTTATGTATGCTTTATCGTGTTATGCGTGAACTGTCTCATATTCGCACTTGTAAATAATTTGATATACAGTGAAACCGCGGTTTATGAATGTAATTCGTTCCTGAAAGCTAAAACGCTCGTAAACCGAAATTATTTTTCCCATAGGAATTAATGTAAAATGAAATAATCTATTTTTGGGCCATACACGAATGCTTAGCTAAATTTTAATAGCAGTACTCTGTGCATGAGTTCATAACGTATACAAAATCATTAAATTAAAAACAAAAACAAAAAAAAAAAAAAAAATTCTGAAATGTTTCAGATTTTAAATTACGTCCAAAGAGGCGTTTTTTAACATTTTGTGTGTTACCTTTCTTTATTAAATATCATGTTCCTCGCACTTAAATCTTAAGATCCAGTGCAACAGCAATATCGCAAAATAGTTTTAAAACGAGCATATCTTTAGAATTTCCGATACAGAGGCTCACGCGCTGGAGATAAAAATGTTTTTTCTGCACAACGTTGCCATTGCTCGCTTTGAAATCCTTGAGTTTGTTAATCAAAAATTCGTCAAAGTTTTAAAAAATAGGAAATCGATCATAAAACAAATTTCAAATTTCAAATTTGGTCTTCCACATGCTCATATTCGTTGGAGGATTACGTTATTCAAAATTCGATGACTCTATGTACCGTTGTTTTATCACAATACGAGAAATATACATACATTTATGCAGATTTTTCATTATTTAATTTCTTCAAATATAATGCAGGACTCTAACATTTTGTGGCAACAGTTTGAAAAGTGAACCGACATTTATGAGTCCGACGCAAAATGCCAAAACGAAACTAATAGTCCTTCGGGATTCAAATCCCTTTGGACTAATAACCACAAAAAAAATCTGAAAGGTTTCGTATTTTAAATTACGTCCAAAAGGACTTTTTTTTTAACGTTTGTGTTACCTTTATTTATTAAATATCATGTTCTTTGCACTTAAAATACGGTTCAATAGCAGTGTCGCAACATAATTTTAAAATGAGCATATGTTTAGAATTTCCCATACACAGTCTTGCGCGCTGGAGATAAAAATGTATTTTCTATACAAACTTGCCATGGCTCCCTTTAAAATCCTTGAGTTTGTTAATCAAAAATTCGTTAAAGATTTACAAAATATGAAATCAATAGTAAAACAAATTCCAAATTTCAAATTTGGTCCTCCACAGCTGTCCTCCAGATGAAGCGTTAAGTGTCTCTATAACATTTGTCTGTTTTTAGTCCAAAGGTCAATTTGCCTTGAAGGAATATTAATATTGTTTTCGCAATTTGCATTGAACACTATAAACGGTGAATCGCCTTTCAAATTGTTAGCCATCAACTATTATCCCCTGCATTATATTTTAAGAAATTAAATAATAAGGAATCTGCATGAATGTATGTATATTTCTGGCGACTGTGATAAAACCAGAAACTGTGATAAAACCTGGTACCTAGAGCCATCCAATTTTGAATAACGTAATCTTCCATTCAAATTAGGCATGTGGAAGGCCTAATTTTAATTTGAAATTTGTTTTATTATCGATTTCATATTTTGTAACACTTCAACGAATTTTTGATTAAAAAACTGAATGATTTCAAAGTGAGCAATGGCAACGCTTTAAAAAAAAAAAAAATATCTCCAGTGCCTGAGACTGTGTATCGGAAATTCTAAAGATATGCTTATTTAAAAATTATTTTGTGATATTGCTGTTGAACTGAGTTTTGTGGTTTGAGTACGTAGAACATGATAAATAAAGGTAACACACAAAACGTTAAGACAACTCCCCTTTAGACGTAATTTAAAATCTGAAACCTTTCAGTTTCTCCCCCCCCCAGTCTTATTTCAGTGATCAGTTTTTTTACTAAGATTGGCTTTACAAAACTTTTTTGTCTTTTAATTATTAGCGTTTAGTGTTTTAACTTTATTTGTTAAATATCACGTTCTTCGCACATATGCCACATAAAATTCAGTTAAACAGCAAAATCACAAACCATTAAAAAACAGCATAGCCTTTGAATTTCAGATAGACAGTCTTGCGCGCTGGAGATAAAAATGTTGTATTCCGTACACTGTTGTAACTGCTCGTTTTGAAATCATTGGGTTTGTTAATCAAAAATTCATTTAACAAAATAGATGAAATAAATAATAAAACAAATTGTAAATTCAAATTTCCGGCTTCCAGGTGCACGTGTTTGAGTGGAGGGCAACGTTATTCAACATTTGATGACTCTAGGTACGT